AGGCTGCGGAGTCGACAGATTTTCGGTGACTCCGACTCCGACTCCGGCTCGGGTTTCTAAAATCGACTCCGACTCCGACTCCGACTCCGGTCACAACTGTCGACTCCGACCGACTCCGACTCAGACTCAGACTCCCACTCCGCAGCCCTGTTCCAGACTCTCACCGAGTCTGGAGAGTCTGGTTGAGTGTTGTTGAGCGATTACCCGCTATTTGCGGCACCTATGATATACGTTCTGCTCCGATGCGGCGCCGTTGATTTATTTAGCTCGTTGCTTTTTGATATGGTTCCATCCGGGTGGCGCCTGGGGCTTCAAATATGAACGCGGACTTGCATTAGTGATGGCTGTGAGGGTCTGTAATTGCGTTTGGAACGCCACGGTACTCCGCTAAGGAACATGCACCGGAAGTTGGCCGGTGCAGGAGCCATCACATGGCGGCGCTGCCTCGGGCTGACGGCAACTTGTGTGCGCCGCGCGCCGCGCGCCACCAGAACCGCAACAAGTTGGGATGGTTGCTAGGCGGGTAAGATTGATTAGCTAGGCTGGCTACCGCGATGGCAAGTCCCAGGCAGGCGTATTGATTCGTGAGACATTTTGGGAGCACACGAGTGGTTTCCGCTTCTTGTGCCTTGAGCATTGGTCACAGTTCAGTAAAGATGATGAGAAGGTGAGCTGATGATGATATATAAGATGATGAGTCTTGATGAAGGCATGGTGGTGATTAGATAAAGTGATTAAATTGAACCTGGAGCTGAATCTGAAAATAGTTGCCTGAAACAAACAGCGATGTTCTTTAATTGTGAGGGCCTTATGTTGTTCATTCCAAAACCAGTGTAGCTATACACTTTTCGCTAGTTTCTTTGCCAAAGTTCTGCCGTCATTTGGTGGTCAACTTTGAGCAATGGGCACCAACACTGAAGCTCGAAACAAGCCTGGTAACGTGTACTATAGCGCATAGTTCTGAGGCTGTGAGCGTAATTAGATGCCACTGATGGCAGCTAGATATACCAGAGTCCAGATACTAGCTAGCTGATCGACAGCGGGATTTTCCGAACTTGGCGAACCTATGCCAACCATACTGAAAAATTGGTCACTGCCTCCTAGTGCATGCCCGAATTATGCTTTCTTGCTAAGATGTGACAGTTTTTTTTTTTAATTTGGCGACTGCTCTCGCTATTGACGGCTTCTTGGCCAACTTATCGCTGGGAGCTTCCAACTGACGTGTCTACCTATACCGCCACTCACCTCACGATGATAAAACGCCATTCAGGAATCTCATCACTACGACGCGAGACAGCTACTCATCAAGAGTGTAGCTATAAGCTAGCGCTGGTCTTGATTTAATCAGTTGGTTTTAATTTCAAATGCCTGAATATTTTGGATGCAGGTCTATTTCCAGGTCCATTATTGATGTCAAGTGTATCGTGCTTGTTTCATAGTGAGCTTTTTTCATAGACTGACTAAATATAATGAAGTAGCCTATTCGTTGAACACGACAAACGTCTAGCCCATATTTTCGTGGAAAGTTCAAGCCGGTCACGATGCAAATGTTATCACGACGCGATTAGAGTGTCTCGTAAAGGCTGTTCTGGTATGTCTGGCATCTGCTCCACACAAATGAATGGGCCTCATTTGCCAGTCGTGTCGACTGATGGGCGGTGAGCCCGCTCCACGGCGATGGTCGGCCTACAGTGATACGCCAGGCGGGCAGCGCCGCGCTGGTGGCCGGGATATGCTGCTTCACTGGGTGGCAGCGCCGGTGGGATATGCTGCTCCACTGCACTGGCGGCTGGCGGTGGGGTTGTTGCTTCAGTGATAGCCGAGATGGGCTGCTTTAACCAAGCGGCAGCCGGTGTGGCGGTGGTAATATGCTGTGTCTTGGCAGCGTCGTTGACCGTGATGTCCTGTACTGATCGGTCTCATATGCGCTGCCGTTTGGCGGCAGACGGTGCACAGCGCTGAGCGCGACGACGCCATGTGAATCGCTTCTTCCGCCACGCTGCGCAATGGCCTATTGCACGCTGCTCCAATCATTATCATTCGCTACCCACGTCGGATGCTAATTGAACCAATGCACAGTGGGGATTTTTCCGATCTAGCGCGTCTTAATTCCCAAAATCTTTTTTGGATTTTGTTTATTTTTTGGTGTCAGTGGGGCTAAGAAATGTCTGAATTTTTCATATATGGCATTGTTTTATCTGTATGTCTACAGCAAGACTAGGAAAAATGCGCCCAAAGTTCACACTCATGCATGATTACTCAATGGGCTCAGTAAGGCCCGAAAGTATAGCTCAATTTCATTGTCCTGTCCTGTTGGTTTTATTCTTGCGAGGTCTTTAAGTTGCATATCTTCTGAAAGGCACCTTTATTAGGAATGGAATGGCAAACAGAAAATATGCCACAACCTTACTAAGGTCACAAAAATGCCATTTACAAAAAAACCCTTACAGACACCATATTGAAGGAATGGTATTCTAAATAAATGTAGGAAATCAACAATGTTTTCCACACTTTTCCACTCCGAAACATATCCTATCGAATTCGCCACTTTCTCCTACACTAGACAACGCCTAGTTTGGCTGCCGGAACTTGCCTGAACACGGAATATCAAAATATGTGATCAAAACTAACATGAAATTCGTCATCAGCACCCCAAAATACCCCGTAACACCCTAACTTTACGAAGTTTCAAGAGGTCTCGATTTCCCCACTTTAGTTGGGTCATTTAGTTGGACTTGGAAAGTTAACTAATGACCTTGGACTTTGAAATTGGATATATTCGGCCTCATCTCGTCATAGGCAGCACGCTTGATTTTTCCGCGAAGCTCTAGCTTGATCAGGGGCCAAACGGCTGAGCCGGGGGTCCAATTGAACCCCCTATACTATGTTGATTATGCACATTTACAGGTAACATTCTCACCAGAACACTCCAGCCAACATCTGTGCACAATCTGGCTACAATACTACCTATGGTTTGCCCTCTACGAATAAAGACGTGCTAGATCGGAAAAATCCCCACTGTGCAATGAGGGCGTCTCCAGCTTTCGCAGTTTCGTCTCCCGCGTCGCGATATGAAGCAGGTGTGTCCACACCGATGGACGCGCTCAGCACGTGTCAGCCGTGTACAACGTGATCCGTGTCTGCTGGTAACGATAGCGAGTGAGCTGCATCGCCGAGACTGTTGTGATGGATATAACGCACCAGCAAAACTGCTGCATATTGTGTTTTGATTTTCAGTAAATACACCCACACCGTGAAGTTTTTCTTTGTCATCGCTGATCGGCTCTGTGAAAAGTTTTCCTCTCTGCGCCCATAGGGCACTGTGATCTGACCTTCCCCTCTCCGGCGGCCGAGGAAGCGACTAATTTCCATGATGACGCCTAGTTGAGAACTCGTAATGGGCGGCTTGTTTTGTTGGGTTAGGCCCTTTCGGTCCAATGAGACCATTTCAGAGCCGGGAGGATGATAGGATATAGGAGGAGACATTGGTCTGGGCAGGCACCCTAGTGAGTCGCCGGGACTGAGCCCGTCCAGAGGACAGGCCACCCAGCCCCAAGGCACTCACTGCACCCAGCTACGGGGTGCGCTCCCTCGGGAGCAGCGGTGCAGCTCCAAGGGAGCAGCCCGCATGAGATAAAGTTGCCTGTCCAGCCCGGAGGGGGGTTGCGGTGTGGAGGAGAAGGATTTCAGTATCCTGAGGATAGAAGCATGGAACGGTGTAATGGGCGGGCCGCGGCTCGGCTTTAATTCGGTTCTGAGTACGGTCGCCGGGTCGGGTCGGACGGCCGGCCGGACGGCGGAGGTCGCGGCCGTCCTGCGCCGTCTGACGTCACACTATGACGTCAGACGGCCGGGCGCGGGGCGGTCCGTATTGAACCGGGTCGGTGCGCCGACTGACGTTCTTCCCTCCACCTCCGCTCCCGCTGGCTCCGGGCGGACACGTCCCAACTCCGGCGGCGCCACCCACGCTGACCAATGCCTCCAGACGGCCGGACATGATCGGCTGAATTATTTATCAATGGAGGGGTTGGTCATCCGCATAGGTCCCGCAATAGGTATTGTGTCTGGTGCTTGATCTTTCTCCGCTCACAGTGAGATGCTGTCACTGAGATGTGGATATCTGCATCGGCTCGGGCCGTGGTTGGCCATTCGCATGGACCGTGACATCCGCTGAGTCGTGCCACGACCCCAGCCCCGGTGGTTAGGCGCGACTGTTGGTGCGAGGCTGATGCTGTTAAAGGAATGCGTCCGTCTCAGGCCTGCCGGACGGCTGACCGTAGACGGTGACGCGACGACTGGTAAAACCGAGCTCCAGCTCAGCACCGAAACCGTAGCGACGGGCGAAACCTAGCTCCAGCTGACCCTCGGCGATTGGTAAAACTGAGCACTAGCTCGGCACCTTACCCGCGGCTGATTGTAGGAGTGGGTCCCTGTGTTGGCCAGTACAGTGAGGCAGCAATTTTGCAGCAATGTTCGGCTAGTCCTGGCGTTGATATGAGTTGCTGCTTTGGCGACACTTTTGGAGTGTATGTAGTGTGCAATGCTGAAACCAAGGTCTCGAATTCGATTTTATTTGTTGTGCGTAAAATACATTTACAGTGTAATATTCTCGCATCGATTGCCTTTTGTAGTTGTTGACAAGAGCGTCGATCGCTATTGCAGGCATTGTATTACGAATTACGGTGCCCTAAAATCTCATTCGCGATAATGACTGTCGCATTTTTATGATTCCACTGGGCACTGGCTGATGGTTACTTTCACTGGTTACAGTGCGACTTTGGCATGCCGGCTTGAAAGAAAGTAGGATATCATGCCTGACATCATTTGATGTGATACATCCGCAAATATTTAGACATAAGTAGATTAATCATTCATCTAATGAGTAGTGGGTGGTGTAATAGCGGGTTTACGTCACACATACACGGTAAGGATTCGTTAGTACAACTGTGCAACGCTGAGTGGAGATGACGATCGTGACTTACCGCCCCTCCCTCGGGCAGACTGTTCCAGCCGTGGTCGGCGCTGCTGAAGAACTGGAAGGTGCTGGCCGTCACCCACCCGGGCTACGTGGCCTTTCTCACCTACGACGAGGTCAAGTCGCGCCTGGCGCAGCACCAGAACAAGCCGGGAAGGTGAGATGGAGACCCGCCCCGACCTCCGTTCAGTCCACACCACAGCATTGGCCGACACAATCGTCAACAATAGCGGTTCTTTTGTGTGGCATCATGAACGGCTATTATACAGCTCTTCCGTAATCGTGTGCTCAGATTAGATCGAAAGCAGAGACACATGGCTCACATGACCGCAAAGACTCAAGAACTATCCGTTACATTTACTATGCTTATTACTTCCGATGTTTATCATGTTGCGTAACCTTTTTGTTTTTGCTTGATCTTTGAACCATTGATAAATGCACATTATGTCCTGTCATTGAGCCAGTGAAATGACTCAGATGATAGAGATTGTTAACTGCCTGTAATAGGAAGTCATCAGATTTCGAGATGGATTACATTTTCTCATACAGTTACTCTTAAATCGATTATGAAATAAGCTTCGCCTACGTCGTAAGTGGCTCTTCGCACTCCACATCTGCGCCATTCACTCAGGTCAGGAGGGATGCATGCCTTACACCGGGCTCCTGCAACACTGACCACCGCGCTTCCGCGCCATTCCTGAGCACTCGGTCGTTACTGGTGGGTGAAGGCGGAACCTGAGCTATCGGCGGGCGTGACCTCTGGCTGGAAGGTCGGGGTCGGCAGTAAACTTTTACAGCCGCAGGCTGGTTATCGCTGCGGCAGCCGTGTCCCTGCTGTTGGCTCCAGCCGCGTGCCGCCTAGCTCCGTCAGCTCTTTCCTGTCTATAAGCGCAGGGGGTTATCGCGCCGCCAGCATGTCACTCTTGGCTCCTTCGGCTGGGACATGTCTGTAGGCACCGCATGTGCCCGCCTAGCTCCATTGCCTGTGTCCCGCCTGGCTCCTTCGGCTGTGACCCTCCTGTAGGTGCAGGCGTCCACGTATCGGCACTCGGCACCTTCGTCTGCCTGTCGGCGGACCGAAGCTTGGGTCTGGCCCTGCCTGTAGTTTCGACTCGGATCAGAACGTCGGCCCGGGCTGGAACGTCCGACTATTCCGTAATGCCAGTCTGGACCGTAGTTTCGGCCGGGATCAGCTTGTCGGTCCGCGCCGTATCGGTCCGAACCAGAACCAGGCAGCTGCGGCGCGACTGGTTACGGTCCACAAGGGTGTACAGTAGGTCTATTAAAAAAGTCCCCAGCACCAGTGGGCGCTGCCTTCGCTGAGCCGAACCCCCATATGCCTGTCCCGTATCACGCCGGTATCAGGTCAGGTAGGGTCAGCGGGACCGCTCGGTCCGGCCCGCGGGCGGTGGACGGGCGGCCGGTAACGCTTTCCGCCAGCCAGCTGTAGAATCCAACAAACGAGACGGCCACCGCTCAGCGCAGCGAAACCGGTGTTAAAGAATGGCAGTAGATGTTCATGGCCACAATGATTATGAGATAGTCATTGTAAGCCCGTGCCCCACAGGAATGCCTAGACTCTCACGCCCTGTTGGAGGGGAAATGGGGATTGAGCATCATTCTTATAACTCAGCTTTGGGCATTTAAGTGGTATTCGAAGTAGCGTCGAAAGTAGCAAAAAGAAGAAAAATACTTCAGCCAATTTTAGATCGGCACAGAGCAAAAGGTCATGTCACCAGAGGTCATCGATGATAAAATTTTGCTTGGACAGGATGCGTTGTGCACACCGGTGCATTGGGTTTCCAATTTCCATGGAAACATCAACAGACTCGGAAGCTCGTAACGCTAGCGTGGAGCCGAATTCATATCAACCGCCGCTACAATGCATGGCAGCGCAGCGCAGCGTGCTGCAGCGCGGGGCCGTGAAACACCGCCCAGGGCTATCCATGTATCAGGGCAATCCAACCCACGTGATGGGCTCGGCCCCAGCGGAGCATGAGGCTCAGGACTCCCGCCCAGGCCCCCTGTCTCCCCCTAATTCCTGTCATCCTTCCCACTCTGAAATCGACCGAAAGAGCCTAACCTAACACAACAAGCAGCTCGTTTACCGCTATGTCTGAATAATATTGTCAGATTTAATTAAGGTCAACGGCTTAGCACGTAAATAACAGCAACTGCCACCATCGGTATTATGAGAAAACCAATTGCTTTTCCACAAACACTAAAAGTTTTAAGCTAAACCTGCATGAAATTAATTTTACCAGCCTCGTGTTCCTCCTATCAAAACGCTTCGAATGAATCAAAAGTTGATCTTTAAGCCTCACCGGCACAGGCCATTTTGCATCCTTCGACGGCACAAGAGGGGGGGGGGGGAGGGTGGCACGACCCCCCTCGCGCTTGGCCCCTGATTGAGCTAGAGCTTCGCGGAAAAAAAACGAGCGTGCTGCCCGTCACGAGAGTAAGCCGATGATACCCAATTTTAAGGTCCTAGGTCATCGGGTGACCTTCCAGGTCAGGTCAATGACCCGAAAATCGGGAAAATGGGGACCTGTTAGAAAGTCGTTAAGTGTGGCTGCTATGGGGTTTTCCGGGGTGCTGATCACGAATATCGTGCTAGTTTTGATCAGAGATGATGTCTTAAAGCATTTAGACCAGGTCGGGTCAGGTCAGGTCAGGTCAACCGGTAGGGGTCACGACGGGTATTCGTAATACCTGTCATCCGCCTCTGACAGCTTCGTAACATGTTACGAAGGCACCAAAACTACTCCGTAAATGTTCAAATGGTTGCTAAATTCGAATTTAGCCCCAAAAACTGGCGTAGAAACATGTAAAACTCGAAAAAGTGAACCGAGGTCACCAAAGGTCAATGACCTGACCTGACCTTCAGGTGATCTTGACACCCACTCTAATGCATCGGAGCAACATCAAATCACATGTTTGAACGCTTGAAACCACGAAAAGCTTGCAAACGCGCGGCTAATGCGAGCCGACATACGCCGAATCGCGATTCCGGCCAAACATGGTCTCGGAAAAGAGGTCACAGGTCAAAGGTCATTTGGGTCAGGGTCATGAAATATTCAGGGTAGGTGTAAGATTGATCAATGCGAGGGTACTGAAAGTTTCGTCGCGATCGGCCGCTTTTTACGTGAGTTATTCGCGAAAAACCTTGGAGGGGGGGGGGGGGGTCGCATCAACCCTCCCTCCCTGTGCCGGCGAGGGAGGTCATTTGAAGAATTTGGCCTATGTTCAAAGACATGACCTGACCAGAAATGGTCATGATGGATAGCAGGATATTAGATCCGTATCGTGAAACTTTACAAACACTTTAGATGATTTCATAACTTAAGCATGTCTATCAAAAATATTTATTACATGGCTCATGTGTAAGCTGGGTGTGTGATCATGCTTACGAGTATGTTGAACGCAACTGATAATGTTCTGTTGGCCACAATTTCTATATTTAATTTATCCTCCCGGATTTCATATTTTTATTAATGGCACCTTGACGATGTCGAGAAAAAAAAACGCTTAGAAGATTTAACAGCCTGAGATACATTCAGCATAAGGAAGGGTCAAGGGTGCTAGATTCCTTCCGTCCTCGCTATCCTCAGGAAAAACCAATCCGCATCGCCCCTAGTCTTCATGCTTCCCTCTCTGGACTGGAGGTCACCCCACCAGCCAACCTGTAGTTGATGTCGGTTCCATTCCAAGACACATAACCCTCTTCGGGTGACCGTTGGGGAGACGGCTGGACCGCCCGACAGGGCAATCATCCCACGGGAACAGTCACGCTTCCGGAGTCTGCAGATCACTGTCGCTGGCTCGCACAACCAAATTACTACACCAGAGCATAGTTATGTCATAGCTCTACAAGGGCCTTCTCAGACCGAAAAAGATGGCTCCCAACAAAACAAACAATTTTCTCATTCAGTATTGTATCTCATCAGGCACCACATGTTTTCAGAGTGTTTATTATGCGTTCCGTCCAAAAAAAGCGCAGTTCAACTTTCTCCCATTGACTTTAGCGATCTCAAAATTGACCCGACCTTTCTGTCAGCAATGACAAACTTGCAAAGTAAACGTTTCAAATACATATACTGTTGCCCATTGAAATCACTGAAGGTTCTAAAGCGATCGGTTGGTCGATGTATTTAGATATGATGAGCACAGGAACTTTCCTTGAGGGAAGGTCACTTGACGTGACCTGGTGTTATGACCTTAAATTGAAAGACTTGGGCGGGAAAAAATGGATCATTGAAATCTTAAAATTTTAGATTTTAACAATAATTGCAAACACTATCCCGGCCAAAAAGTGAGTGAGAAGGGAGCGATTCCCCATCCCCATGTTTAGCTCCTATAATTGAGCTAATTGCTAGAGCCTCGCGGAAAAAACGAGCGCTTGCGTCGTTACGTGACGCAGCGACTGTCACCCCATTTTAAAATATCAGTGACCTCTTAGGGCAGGTCAAGGGCCCCAAGGCATTGGATCGGTTTTTGGTGAATAACTTCGCAAAAAAAGGTCGCATTATCGTCATTTCGATACAATCGTGTTTTCTGTTCAGTGTTCTCAGACGCGTCGATTTATGTGCTTTTTTGCTTAGGTGAAGCAATTTAGGATGTTTAGGTCAATGTCATGTTAGGGCAACACAGGTCACGAAGCTGTTGAAAGGAGGACATGCTGCATAACATTTGATTCGGTAAGTCTTGCAGAGTCCATTGATGGCTGTCCCGACTGGCTAGCTCATTTTGATCGGGAGTTATTGACGAAGCACTCCTATTGACGAGCACTCCGACACGCAAGGTGAACAATGCAAAAGTGAAGAATTAAACCTTGCCAAGAATGTATGAAGTCACGATTTCATGAGCGTGAGGTATAGTTTTAGCTCATTTCCGACGCCAAATTAACAGTTTCCATATTTTCCCATTATGCTTATATCATGACACTAAGTGCATTATGGATTTGCAACATTTTATAACAGACAACCGTGCAGTCTGCAGAGGTTTACTTAAGAGGTCATAGTTAAGTGACCTGACATGAAAACGTGGTTGATTTCAAATGATCCGGCTTGAATCAAATGTAAGGCATATGAAATGTCAGCCTTCTATCATCAGTGTGCTTTGAGCTACCGCAAAAAAAAAAAATACATGGTGGCGGCATCCACCCCTTCTTCTCGGCCGGCGAGGGTTAAATCTCGCTTCGAATTATTGCAGATAATGATGCGACCGAAAACAAAGCATTCATCTGTGTCTAGAACGGCCGCTGACTTGTTGGACAAGATCCCCAATCTTAATTTGCTAGATGGGAATAAAATACTCGGCATATGATACATATATACCCCTCGATTAGCCCTCGCGCAAAGTCAATTCTAATCATCACTGTCGCTTTTTTTATCCGAGATGATGTCGCCACTAAACGGGTTGTTTTGTTTGCTTGCTTGCGTTGAATGGTCATTACGGATTATTGAAGGATCATGATATAATAGGAATGGGGCAAGGGAGGATATGCACTGCAGTGCAGGTGTTTAATTTAGATCACAAAGGCATCGTTTCCGGCATCGTTTCCGGCATCGTGCAGAGTCACTATCTTCCCCTCCTCTGCACTGCGGCATCTCTGCGCCCCACACACGGCGTCCTCACTCCACGGCCGGCCGCCGCCAACTGACCCACTCGCCGGGCGCCGCGACCTGACCCGTGTCACTGCCGCGGCCTGCGCAATAGAGTCGGGGCTGGAATCCGGGGGTTCGGCCGGCCGGCCGCCTCTGGAGCGGGGGACTTTTTTAGTAGACCTACTGTACTGTAGCCGCGGCGAAATGGACCCGTACGGAGGCGGAAGGACTAGTGCGAGTGGACCAGAGATTGAACAGTGCAATTTCGTGAGATTGAATCACAAGGGTAGGCAGAGTCTGGTCGCAAATTTGGCCATTCTTCGGGCAGGACATGGAAGATTTGTTGTCATTGAGAATAGGACGTGTCGACTGACTTTGTGCGCGGTATGTCTGATCAAGATTCATTACCAATGTATTGTGTTTAATGTTGACGCTGTTCATTATTGTAAGTTTGGTACTTGCGTACTCACTACTCGTTCCGCTCGTTTGCGAATGGTCGGAATTGTTCGACCACGTCTCCGTTATTCGTATGTCTCTTTAAATAAACAATAACGGCAGACGTGGACTGGCGTAAGAACTATGCATGCTATATCGGCTGGAACTCGCATACATATTTCAACTAACGGCCCCTGGGAAAGCGTGAAACGCTGGCCACCTTAAAGGGACCCTCCCACCTTCAAAAAAGTTTATGAATTGGCATGAAAGTGATGTCGCTCGGTTCAGAAAGAGCGAAAACGAATATCTACCAAATTTCACAGAAAAATATTCACCGGTTTTCAAGATATTAGACTTTTACTTTTGTTTACTTTTTGGGATCTCCGCTGTTCCTAGCGACTTTATTTGGAAGCAATAGTTTGGCAGCTGAAAGTGCGGCACTTGTTGCGCGCAAAGCAGCATATACCACCGCGTGCTACAAAACGTTTTAGTCAAACATTTAAAAATCGTTAGATATCTGCGCTGACGTCACACATTCAGAGTTGTATTCCTATGCATTAGCCCCTCTGAATCAAAATGCTGCAATTTTGAAATTCAATGTTTCCGATTTAAGGCATTTCTCGATGTTGTGAGTGCCGAAACCGGTAATTGTGAGCCAGGGACCCCATTTTGGCTATCTCAACTCAAATCTAATGTTAAGGTGGGAGGGTCCCTTTAAAGTCCATTTCGAATTGCGGCGTAACCGCATTAAGTGGTGATGGTCTGCAGTGGCCCTGACCGCGACTCCGCCGGTTCCCTTGGCGCCTACCTAGTGTAAAACGGTTCCCGACGTTTTCGTCAGAGCCGTCAGCGGCACCTGCTAGCCCACCGTGTCATGCTTTCTATGGATGTTTGTTTTCAAATCAATCATATTCCACGCAGTGTTCTTTAATTCGTCACGCTGTTTTCTCAGTGAAAACATCGCCATTCAGCTCTGTTATCTGCCTGGAGCTTTCTTCGCGTCCTTCATCAAGCACCTGCCAAGTCGAGCGTGTTTGCTCACTTTATCTGCGAAATTACGTTACAGGCTGGCGTTGTTTTGAAGTTGTGAAATTTCCTGCGCGTTTTCAACAAGAATGCAAATGACGCGCCTAGCTTATCTCCACGGGCCCATTTCCATAATAAAGTTACGGAGGATTTCAACATTTCTCACCGCCCGCGGCGGTGTTTTTCTGTTGGAGGCGTAGTTCCATATGGAGCAGACGACGGGGAAGGATGTATAATAAACAGCCTGTGCTGTACAACTGTATTTGATTTTGTAACATACCTATTATTTTCCATAGGAACTCACCTGAGTTTTGTTTCATGGCTTTTTCTGACTTTGCTTGGATTTTACTTTTTTCTGAAACTTTATTTCTGTTTTCAGAGGTAATATCGTTATATCGTTTTAGGTAGGTGATAATAAATAACTCCGTGATCTGCGGCATCATTCTGCAAAAATTGTAACCCTGCCCTCGGCAATATAATTTTCAGAAAGGCCTTGAAACAGCAGTAACACGCGATGACTGACTACAATTTGCTTATTTATTGTTCTTCGAAGGCATGCCTCACGTAAAAAACGCCAACATTTCCACAAATTACTTGCAGCCCGCCGTTGGAGAGACGGCTGCTTTCCCGGTCTGCGCGGAATATCCGTCCCATATTACCACTGCGGCCCAATAATCACATCACGCCCGGCTAACGGCTGCCGGCGAACGATCCGGATCTGATCTGGTTTGCCGCCAGTGGGTGTGCTCGGCTGGCCGGCGGGGCTGGGGAAGGGCCCTGGTGTGCTACCACACGCCGGGTGCATGCATCAGCTGCAACTCGGCCGTTCCGCGCTCTGATGGTTCCTGTGTGTCTGTGGCTGGTGTGGTGGTCCCTGTGTGTGTCTGTGGTTGGAGTGTGGTATCAGATATGGGAATCGTTGACAGCGATGTGTGCACATTTGAGAAACTGAAGTCGATTTTCACTTTTTGACTCGCACCGTTGCGCTGTTGCTACACTTTCGTTGTATTTGTATCGGCTTTCCATTCATTTCCCTCATGCATTCATTTCCTTCATACACCACTGGTCGGTGTGCGTGTCGATCGTCTCCCGCCGTTGAGCTGTTGCCACACTCACCAAGCATTTGTATAAGCTTAGGTACCATTCATTTCCCTTATACACCGCTGGTCCGTGTCGTTTGTTGCGCGGCGCTGCTGACTCTCACCCTCTGTGTTACAGTTACGTGTTCCGTCTGAGCTGCACCCGACTGGGTCAGTGGGCCATCGGCTACGTCACCACCGATGGCAGTATCCTGCAGACGATCCCGCAGAACAAGAGCCTGTGCCAGGCGCTGCTGGAAGGACACCGGGAAGGATTGTGAGTGGGCGTCTCGGTCTCAGCCATCCTTACTCAGTGTTTTGATTATTACGGAGCGAGCGAAGCGAGCGTAGTCTTTCCTTAGATTAACGGAAATTTCTGAGTATGAGCGGCCGGCCGGCCGTGGTCATGATTTTGCGACGCTTATATCTCAGCAACCACTTGACCGATTTACACGCGGTAATTTTTGTAGGTAGCTTCATTCCTTATACCAGGTATTGGACTATTCCCGATGCATGTGGGTGACCCCTTATGCACGTGCCACGTGCAAAACGAAGAGGTGTCACTTTTGTAATTGTTGCAATATCTCGGTAACTACTTGGCCGATTGCGCTGAAAGTTGGCATGTAGGTAGGCACCCTTTAGGCAATGCATATTCATGTGCCAGAGTTGGGGTGCTGCTGCACGTGCGCACGTGCAGGGGTCGATTCCAGATCTCGAGAACGGCTGGACCGATGGCGCTCAAATTTGGTACATGGTTAGGGACCGGTTAGTAGAGTGCCGTGCAAAAGTCAGTTGGGACCCATTTTGCACGTGCGCACGTGCACGGTGCCGCTTCCAGATCTCGAGAACGGCTGGGCCGATTGTGCTCAAATTTGGCATATCGCTAGAGACCGGTTAGTAGGGTGCCGTGCACAAGTCAGCTAGAGGTACGGGGACCCGCAGTTGCTACTGTACAGCGATCCTGAGTAAATTGTCCCAGCACCCTCACAGGGAACAACGATAAGCTGTCAGAGGGCACGCACAGAAAACCTCAGCTGCTCTTGTACAGGGACCGGCAGTCGATATCAATGTTGTCGGTTGTTACTGGACAGGACAGACGGCTATAGTTGGGGTTCGTGTACAGTAGCAACTGCGGGTCCCCGTACCCCCTCGAAATTTCGCACGTGCAAGGCTCACCCTCTCGCTCGCTCCGTTAGTCGCCCCAAAAGGCGTTATACTGGTTATCAAGCTATTATATTATTCAGTGTGTGTTATCTAGTTGAATGCCTAAGACATCCACTTAGACAGACTGCAAACAGACTTCAGACGAGAGCGTGGAAATTGCGCTGAGCTGAGCTGTTGACGTCGAGCGTAGAGTTTCTCCTGCTCCGGCTGGAAATGCATTTAAATTATCAGCAGGAAACGCAATATTCCCCGTATTTCAGTGTAAAGCTGTGTAGGCGGATGACACGAAGCTTTTGAATGTAATATTTGATATAGCGGAGGAAATTTCATTTGGATTAAACGGATGTTGAATATTGTTTACGCGATGTGATGACGCAGCTCGGAGTACTTTTTTTTACATTTCCTAAGGTTTCCGGTATTCTAGATTGAAATTCGTATGCTTACCGTGCTTCTGAAGAACCATATGCCCTACAGCACAGTCCGTATCATTTAGGTTTCGCTATCTGGTTTCTCATAGCTAGTGAAATTGATAAGAAATCTACACGAACTGTGTAATACTTTTTCTGGAGATTGTCTTTGGCTGCTCGGCAGCTGACCACTTCTGGCCTTTGTCTCTGTCTGCTGACGGTATGAGCTGTAGCCTGTGTGGAGCGCCGCCCCCGCCTGATAGCTAATACCTGCCTCCCTGGCGATGAACCCCAGTGACCGGTTTGGTGACGGGGGAGGGGGGGGGGGGGGAGGACGACACGGCGACCCCGGCTCGGTGATCACGGCCAAGGACAGCTTTACCGAGGGCGTATCAATGACGGACACGACTGCGGAGAGCAGAACGACTGACCTGGTGCCGAGGGCACACCAACGGCTGACCTGACCTGGTGCCGAGGAATACCAACGCCTGACCTGGTTGGTGCCTAGGAATACCAACGACTGACCTTACGTGGTGTCGAGGGCACACCAACGACCGACCTGACCTGGTGCCGAGGAATACCAACGTCTGACCTGACCTGGTGCCGAGGGCATGACTGACCTGACCTGGTGACGAGGGAAATTAACGACTGGCCACCTGCTGCCGGTCTTCTTCTGACGAGCTATCCTTCGCGCAACCCTCCCTGGGTCTAACCTTACCTGCTTGTCCACCTGCATTGTTTTTCAGTGTTTACCTATGTTTTCCCAATAGTTCAAGAGCATGACCATCTATATGCAGTATGTTGTCTATACGCACTCCACAGATCATTAGTGTCAGTCTGCTCTGCTTGTTTTCCAGTCCGAGCTCTTCTCTGCTGATCCACAGACCACAGCTACCTCCGAACGAGAACATTATGTCTGTCAGTCCTGTGACTTGTGTTCTGTCCTGTTTACAGCTACCTGTATCCCAAAGGGAGAAATGTCTACCAGCTCCGTGACTCGTCTGTCCTGTTCCGCAGCTACCTCTACCCCAACGGGAGGGACGACAACCCGGACCTATCGCTGGCAGTCCAGGCGGCCACTGAGGACCACATCAGGGTACGTATCACCAACGGGACACGTTTGGTGAGGACCACATGAGGGGGCACGTGTTGGGCCACGAGGACCAACACGTGCAGTGGACCACGAGGACCACGTTAGGGTACGTGTTACTAGAGGGACACGTGTTGTGGTTTGTTGTGCGATTGTCTGCGAATCGCTCGATTACGCCTATCTCCTTTCACCTCACAGCTAGCTGCAGTCGATTACAGCTCGTTACAGTCCACCATAGCGTGTTTTTGTAGTCCGCCACAACCCGGTAAACCCGTCTAATTCCGTTTCTGGCATTCATGTCCTCCTTGAGCTTACTCCTAAGCTGTCCCATCCGATCTTCCATCAACCCATCCCATTCCATTCCATCTAGTTCCGTGTTTTGTCCCGTCAACTGTGCTCTACTCCGTCCAACGTTTTATCCTATCCTCTTGACTTCAATGTCGATCTATTTCCATCCGTCGCTTCCCCTCAACGACATCTTTGCCGACGTTTTGCTCGGAAGCCGTCCACTCGGAGCCCCTGCCGTGTCGTGCCGTGGCGATCAATGGAGCTCTCGGTCACCGTCGAGCGTGGCCTCTGCCCGGCACCCGTCCTCTGCCGGGCGCCCATTCAGCTGGCGTCGCATCTGTAGCTCGCCGCCGGGTGTTGGTATCGAGTCGGGGCTGGATAAACGACTGAACGGACCACGCCGAAGGCTGGTAGCTTTCGGAAAGAGGGGAAAAGGAAAGAGTAACAGAGAGAGAGAGAGAGAGAGAGAGAGAGAGAGAGAGAGAGAGAGAGAGAGAGAGAGAGAGAGAGAGAGAGAGGAGATCGAGAGAGAGAGGAGATCGAGAGAGAGAGAGAGGAGATCGAGAGAGAGGGAGAGGAGATCGAGAGAAAGAAAGGGAGAGGAGATGGATAGACTAGGGGGAAGAGACGGATGAATAGGGAGACTGTGAGTGTTTGTTACCGTGTTTGAAGCTTACAAAGCTCAACCAGATACACTGCTATCCTCCCCGGCTTTTCTGTCGGATTCCTGACATGGCTGCACCGGCTGATTGGAGTGGAGCCGGGCTGAAACACTGCCCTATCTGGGCTCGGCTCGGCGAGTCGTTAATCCCGTCAAAGCGGCTATAACGACTGTTGACTCCGGCACGGAGCGGCAGATGACGGGTCGTGACGGGACGGATCCCTCCCCTCCCTCCGCGCCGCACCGAACCTGACCTCCTACCTTTGGTGCGAACCCGACTCCCTCTTCTTTTCCGCTGGAACAGACCCGCCCTGACATCGGGGAAAAGCGAGGATTAGCGCATTAGAAAGCGGATGCTTTTTCGTTTCCGGTATAATGCGCTGTTAGCATGATTTTTTCTCGTATGCTCAAATGCTTAAAGGTAAAAAGTGATAACGACCTGCAAACCAAACGCTTTCTTATGATTAGACCCATCTCATACACTTTTATCCGTTTCCTACAGGCACTTAGCTTAGCGAAACACTTTAAAAAATGTGAAACACTTAGCGAAACGCTTTCATCGGGAAACAAATTGTGTCTACCAGTTTGTTCTTCCATGATTTGCCTTCTGGATAGATAAACACGAAACTGGCATTCTGCAAGCTGTTGGAATGTTTGGCGATGAACGCTTATCGCTTGGTTTGACTTGTGCAAGGAGGCGTTTGTAGTGCATCATCAGCTTACTGAAGCCTGGTCATATTCCACGTCTGTCGGTTGACTCAAGCTCATGCTGTTTGATAAGAGATGGTGAGCACCCGTTTGCACTGTGTTTAGTGCGTTGTTTGATAAGGGCTTCCGGTTCAAGCAGAGAAACCAGTCACCTCTGATACGGCTCCCTACCGGGCACGTGGATAAGCGTGGGTATGTCGTGAGCAATGGACATGCTGGCCCCGGCAGCCTACAGCGGGGTCGTGTCGACAACCGACAGCCTGTGTATCGAGGCAGGAACTCCCGGCCCCCGTCCGGCCGGCCGGCCGCGCCGAGCTGGTTATAAAGATAGCGCCGCTGCAGGCCTGATGCTCGCCCCGTACACAGCCTCTTAGGACCCGTCGACCAAGGTTATATTACCGTGCTGCACTGGCTGGCTCGGTATCTCTTTGCCCCGGTTTGTCATAGCTCGCAGAGTGTAACTGATATTCAGCAGCTCAGACTTGAGTCACCTGAGCTGCTTAGCCGCATGAATTTGCACTTACAGGCCCCGCCACGCTTGAATTGTAGTCACGAGGTATGCAGGATACACTTACACTTTTCCAAATATGCTTCGTGTTCTCGATTTTAATGCACCTGCATTACTTCTCATTGACGAGTGACGACTGACTTAAATAAACTCTTTCTCCCCATTGCCCACATCAGCTTTGGAAGCCATCTTTCACCCTACCATCCGCACTCTGCGCTGATCCTGCGGTCATGATGTGGAAGATTTGAACGGATCATCGCGCGGCGGCCCCAAATCGCTGCGGGGAGCGCGGTAATATCGCCGATGAGAGCCATTGCCGGTCGGAGACAGAGTGTCGTCACTACTCACTGATCGGGCGTCTCCGCTGTGATCGGTTTCTGCTGAAGACGTCACCGCTGGCTGCTTTCTGTGTCTCTGGCTCTATCCTCATTTTCCATCTTCCTTCTAGCTCTTTCTCTATCTCCCTCTATCTCCAAGTCTGTGTCCTTTTTTTGGCTTTGTGTCCGTCTCCTTCCCAGCTCCAGCTCCGTCTATGGCTCCGACCGGGTCTTCGACTCTCAACCCGACCCTGTCCGTCTATCTTCAGCTCCGTCGTAACGATGCGTCTCCCCGGCTACTCCGTCTCACCATCGGCTTCTGTCGTTACTCGTTTGTCAGGGGTGGATTGATGAGCCCGACCAGACGACAGCGGCGAGAATGGGCTTCGATAGGACACACCGGTGCCGAGAGAGGCGATATAGCGTGGTTCGGTGAAGACTGGATTTCGACGATGGCCAGCGGGGAAAGAGCTAACATTTTGCTGGTGGCGGTGGAGGGTACCGGAGAATGGGAGCCGTATCGAGCGGTACCAGAGAGGGGATGGAGACGTTTCGGCGTCAGTCGCAGCCACGGTCAGAAATGGCTGTTTTCTTTTTGTACCAGAGACGTCTCCCTTTCGAGCCTGGTCCGTCACCCGCGTCCCACAGTCAGCCACGGCAGGCAGCACCCTCCAGCCGGCCGAGGGAGCCGAACTCCTCCAAGCCACCTGGCAGTCACGGTTCATGGTTAACCTCCTAGCCACGGTGCATGGCAATTGGCAACCCTCACCAGCCATCATCCTCCAACGGACCGAGGGGGTATTCATTCCTTCTAGCAGCCTGGCAGCCACAGTTCTTAGGTAAGCTACCAGTCAGGGTTGCTGAATAACCCTCATAACCACGGTTACTGAGCAACCCTCGTGAGCCGCGGTCCCTGAGTAACCCTTCTTGGCACATTCTCTGGATGACCTCCCAGCCTCGCTGAATGTTCGCCCTTCCGGCCGTGGTGCGGCCGCTGCCGTGATCTTCCCAACACACTGATATTGGCGTCTGTTGTCGGCGGCCCGGCCCGGCCCCCTCACTCTCACTCACACTAATCAAAGTGTCGCAGAAAGGCCTGGCGAAAGGTCAGATCCTGATTTATACGGCATCGACCCTATATTGGGACGGCTGGGCTGACTGCCTTTTGCCGGAACGGAACGTGCTCTCCACGGGGTGTTGAACCAGACTGGTTTCCAAGAAACGCCGATTTGACGCTCTTCAACATTTATGTCTCTTTGTGCTTAGAGTTGCTAGACTGTGCTTCTTATCCCCTGTTCTGCTTGCTGAAAGTTAGGTCTCGTAGCTTTAAGCTTTCTGTCTTATGATTAGTTCCCGAGCTGAACATACAAGCTATTCCCGGTGAGTTCCTATGGTGAAGCGGATGGACTTAGTGGTCGGATGGTATCGTTAGTCCCGGCGGCACTGTGCTGTGCTGTGCCGACTGTGCTGTGCCAACTGTACTGTGCCGACTGTGTCGTATGCTCGGCTGCCGTTGGCGCTCGCTCGGCCGGGTCCATCAGGCCGGCTGTCACGCCCCCCGGCCATCGACGCGCCGGTAATGGATGATCCCTGCACCTCCTCCTCCCATTCCCCGTCTACATGTCCCATTCGCCCCCCCCCCCCACCCGGTCCCAATGCATGGCCCCATTTCCACGCCTGTTATCCCTCCTCCTCCCTCCGGTCCCAGACATCCTCCTCTCCGCGGTATGCCATGTTCTTTTGGCTTGATATGTTACTTATGATTATTTATTTGTTATGATCATCATATTTGTTTATTTTGCGTTTATTTTTTTTCGGAAAACGTTGCTAGGAGTTGAATGGAAGATAGGTCATTTCGATGCGGTATGTGATGTCCGACGGTACAGGCAATGGTTATTTTTATTTGTTTTTCTTTTGTCATCACAGCCAGCGCGTTAGATATGTGCAGAACGGTGTCTGCCAGAGAGCCAGGCTCGATATGAGTCGTATGCTGGTCTTGGTATGCGTGATTACCTCTCCTGTGTGTCACTATTCGATAGGGGAGTAGAGCGCATCCTGTTGAGAGACGCAACTCGGGCCACCACTCGGGTGCTGGGAAGTCGGTCAATACGACGGCAGAGGCTAGCCGAACGCGCCGCCCGGGATGGAAAATCTCCGTGCTGAGCGATGGGGGCTCGTTTGCGGCAATGGGCCGTGTGGCGGCATATTCCAGGCGCCGCTGAGTTCTTGAGCCTGTTGCCAGCGGCCGCTAACCGTGGGTGGAAAATACCAAAACTGTGGGCGGACTGTAATCTGTCTGGCTGTCGTCGGCCAACTGTTTGATTTTCTTTTCTGACCGCATTTATCTGGTTTTGGGATGTTTGTTCTCCTGCTGCTGTCTGATAACCGTCACCCATTGCCGTCTCGTTGCTGTATGCTGATAGCGATAACTTGTCACCACCTCGTTACTGGTATTTCATTGCTATCTCGTTGCTGCTCTCGTCTTGCCGTCTCGTTGCCGTCTCGTTGCCGGTCACTCATTGCTGCCTCGTTGATAACTCATTATCACCTCGTTACCGGTGACTCGTTGCCTTCTCGTTGCCGGTCAATCCTTGCTGTCTCACTGCTGATGCCTCCCTGTCGTCTCGTAGCCGTTAACCCGCGCCCCGTAGGGGGGGGGGGGCCGAAACGGCCCCCCGTGTCCTTTTCCCTCGATATCTCCTAAACGGCTGGAGATATCGCCACCAAACTTTCAGGACCCCTCCGGGCATCAATTTTACACAATGTGACCAAAATTTTTCCAGAGGCTATGATAGGTTGGCCACAAATGACGTCAGAATGACGTCATGTTTTGCCATTTTCGACCGAAAAAAGACCGCGAGAAGAGCTGTCAGGCCTACAGCTTCAAAGATACAGAAAAATGACCAGACATTAAAGGTGTAGAATTGACAGGGCTACAAAACTGCTATCTCGGATTTTTTAAATTTTTGAGTTTTGACCCCCAAAAATCAAAAATGCCATTTTTTTATATATTAGCCAAAAAAAACCAAAAGGTTTTTTGAGTTTCGAAAAAAACGGAATATATGTGATAGTACCTACCGTCTTCTATCTACATACCAAATTTCAGATCGATATCTCGTTTTTTTGCCAAGTTATAGCGAAAAAACTGTGCAAAAATGATGACGTCAAATTTCCAAACTCAATTTTTGGCAATTCTAGACTACGTAGGGCAAAACAAAGACCACCATTGGACTCCCCGTGACGAGCTGCATCGAATGGATACCCATTTTATGCAAAAATATCAACTTTGAAATTTGACCTAATTTGACCTGACCTTGACCTAACCTTGACCAAAACGTGACCTAAGCTGGCTCCAAAGGCTGCCTGACCCGCATAATCGCATTTGCCATGTAAAATGGACCATAAAACATGTATCACACGACACCTTCATATTGTGACCCCCGGTGACCTGACCTCGCTGTGACCTGACCTGGTATCAGTGACCTCAGATAGCAAAGTATGTGTTTGACGAACAATGTACCATCGATGGTTTTCAATAACTTACCAATTTACTCGATTTCACAACACATTTCTTGAAATGCCTGTGAACGGTGAAAATCTGACCTTTGACCTGACCTGTGACGTCATCGGTTTGACCTAGGTCAATGAAATTTGGTCACAAGGTAGTTCCCGGGTGGGGCTATCCAACGCCGTTTGAATTTTGAAAATCGGCCGGTAAATTTCCGAGATCTTAGGGGGGGGCCGAAACGGCCCCTCCCCTACGGCTGGTAGGGTCCGCCGGTAGCCCTACGGGGCGCGGGTTAAGTCATTACCGCCTCGTCGATTGCTCATCGCTGTTTCATGGCCATTAGCTCATTGCCGTCTCGTTGCCTTTAACTCATGCCGTCTCTTTGCCTCTCCGACAGGTGACGCGAGAGCAATACGAGCTGTACTGTGAGATGGGCAGCACGTTCCAGCTCTGTAAGATCTGCGCCGAGAACGACAAGGACATCAAGATCGAGCCGTGCGGTCACCTGCTCTGCACGCCCTGTCTCCAGTCATGGCAGGTGAGGCACTGAGGCAACGACTGAGCACTGCGCGTGAGACACTGGTGGGCCAATTTAGCGCTGCATGTGAGACCTGAGACGGATTCCAGTTCATTCCTTCAAAATGTCGGTGAGAATTCAGCAACATTTTTTTTGAGTCCTGATATTGGCTGGGTAACTTGATTATGTTGCCTTATTCTAAGACTTGAGAGGTGTCTACAGGTAAAAGAAAAAACAGCACAGTGTAATCGTCGCCCCTTTCATTGAGTCTATTCCTATCTTTGTGTTTTATCGCGCGCGAGGGCGATGCTCAGCTTGAAGTCTAATGACTCAAGTGACCCACTGTGGGAACTAGGAAGGCTGTGTGTCATTGCCGCTTTATCATGTCTTGTGTTTAATGCCAGTTTTGTTGTACGCCATGCTAGATATGCGTTCGCTGAACGATGAGACTGCTGGGTGAAGTACTCAGGCATCAATGATTGTCAGTATATTTTGCAGTTACTGGGGTTTAGGTCTATCAATCATCTCTGTCGCATTCATTGGGGATCTAGCAACTCAATGCTTCTGCCGGCCGTGAACAGTTCTAGCGCGCCAGTGGCTCTCACGGCGCATCATAAAGCCAGCCTGGCAGATATTACGGCGCTGTAAATCCAGCCAGCTCATCGCCCCGGCCAATAAACGGGGATTCTTCATAGTAAAAAACGGACTACCGGGGTGTGGTGGCCACTTGATTGCATTGATCCTGTTTTCATGACGTGACGATTACTGGCAGGGCTAGTTTGCCTTTGCCACTCAACCTGGACAACCTGGTACAGCTGCTGGTCAGTTGTCATTGTTAAAATGACTTAGGAGCGTTCGGCGAAGCTGGAAATATTACCAAACGTGTCTCTTCTTTGGCAGCAAACTTTGGTTGGTGTCGTGATCACCTTAGGTCGATTTTCAACACATATGAACTTTTTATGCCAAACATATACTCGTATCTTGTGATCCAGATGAGTCAGAACTATATTGAAGCTTCCTGGTGATTTAGACTGCTGTGTAGCTGGCTCCTTATCTCGAGACCAACATCACATGTTGCGTGCCTGCCTTCCCGCCCCTGTGTCTTGCCTGCCCGTCCGCCTACCGTGCCATGTAATCTGTAATGCGCCCTTCCACCGCCTCTCCCTCGGGGCAGCGTCTGGCCAGGTGCGTGTTCCGTGAGGCTTGGATCACATGAAGCTATCTCCCGTAGCAAACCAGTAATTGAACCTTCGTTCCGGGTACGAGGAGCCATTACACGGAGGCCGCTCGCCCTCTGGAGACCCTCTCAGGGATCTGGCATGGAACCGCCGACACAGAGCTGGTATAGTATATCTCCTCTCTCGGTACCAGACAGCTCTTCTGCGTGTGTTCGCCTCCGCGCGTGTCGCCGACATTGAGGAGTCGGGCTCTCCTGTGGGGCGCCCACGTCCGATCGACCAGTTGCCTAGCAACGAGCGGCCCGCGGCGTCCGGGTGCGTGCCGCGCCGCCTCCTCCTCCGCCTGTTAGGCCGTCTCTCCGTGACGATTGGACTCCGTCGGGAGCGACGCCCCATCTCTCCTCTCCCCCCTACCTACCGGGAGCGGCGCCCCATCTCTCCTAGCCCCACTGGGGAGTGGCGTCTGTGCTCCTGCCGAGAATACCCCATCCTCTCATTCATCCCTCCTTCTCCGGTTGCGCCGTTACCCTCATTAGTTCGAGGCGTCCCGTCCTCTCTTAGTTCGCTGTTCCTCTCCTATCGGAGGGATTGACGCTTTTCCTCAATTTTTCTGCTGAGATTGGATCTATCATCTCCCCCCGCGGGGCAGCTTGCTGTTTCTCGCTGATTGGCGAAGGCTGAGCTGGCCGCGGGCGATTCGCCCGACCTGACTGTCGCCATGCTCTCGTTGTGGTAAAATAACGAGGTAAAAGAACACTGGCTTATCTTGACTCCGGAAATGGGCCGGAATGGGCTGATACAAGGGCCGAGGAATAATGCGCAAGCATGGTGGACTGAAGCTTCTGATACAATTGTCAGAATTGTCCGCGGTACGCTCTTGATGTCGCTAGAAGATGAAGGTAGCTACAGAGTTAAAGATAACCTGGTCCATCCTGGTCGTGTGGCATATGCAACTCTTCTTGCATAATGCATTAGCTCATTTAGTGACACAATGTAACAACTCATTTAGTGGCTGCTACCAAAGTTGGCAATTTATCGTCGGCAGGATGACAGCCACTGAAATAAATGGGTGGCGTTATGAATCGCGGGGTAAATGGATGTCGTTCTGCGGACATTTTGCAATATGGTCCCCACAGGGTGAAAGAGCGGCACATTATCTGTCTCGGGCGTGGTCGGCTCGTGCGATTTCCTTGCTCTCTGGCCCACTATTTGCTGACATCATTTGTTCCCATAGTCAGAACGACCGTGCTCCTGAGGATTATTTCGATACTAGCTGTATCACATGAGATGGATGTAGCGATACTGTTTCGACGATCAACTATTGCAGTCAAGATCTTCCGAACATTTCAGAATTAATTAAACCGCTGTTTGTGTAAGGTCAGTTATAACTGAAAAGAGCTAAATTGTTCGGCCTCGTTTGATGATTTTGACTATGATGATTTAATTGATGATTTAATAGATAATTTTAACTATGCCCCCAGATGCGCTTACGCGCATCCAAGCATCCGCGTAAGCTGTGATTTTTGTTACTGCTCCCTGTCCCTTTCCTCCTCTCCCACTCTCTCATCTCCCTCTCTTCTCTCTCTCTCCCTTTTCTTCTCCTCCCATCCTTCCTCTCTATCTCCCTCCCCTCCCTTCCTCCCTCTTTGATCATCACGCCAGCTCCGTCTCCAATCCGGGTACATCCTGGGTGCATCCGTCTTCTCTCGGTCCGTCGGCCAGTCGCCGGAGCTGTATCGCCACAGTAGCTGACTCGGATACGTTGCCTGGCAACCCGTTCAATCAACCGTGAACCTCTCGGACGCCTAATAACCAGCCTGCAGCGCACCACAATCGCAAAGAGAAGCCGTGTGGGTCAATAGGAGCGCCGGCAAACAAATTAGTTTGGTGGCTTCCATTCCCGGATCAGTACACGGATCTTTAATGATGCTGCGCCCGGGTGGGATCGGATGTGTGGGAAGGTCTGGGCTTGGGTGTGGGCCTGGGTGAAAGAGTCTGGGCTGGATGCTAGCTGTAGTGAGAGTTTGGACTAGCTACGATCAAGAATGAGAGGGAATAGACTAGGTGTGAGCTCGGCAGGAGAGTCTAGGCCGGATGAGAGCCTGATAGATTTAAGCTATGGCTTTCACGGATGGGTGGGAAGGTCTGGGCTGGATGTGGGCCTGACTTCTGAGTGAAAGTCCGACCGAAGATGTCTTAGCCGGGTTGTTCCTAGCAAGGCTCTGTTCCTAGTGGCAGTGACCTCAGGCTCACCTCTTTACAAGGCGACCTGTCAAGTATTATTTGCGACACGTTCGATTGGCGTTCGCTGGTTTCCCTGCTCTCTGCATTATATAACTTATTTTGCGATTTTCTTATGTGCGTCTTTCCAAGAAGCTGTTGAGTGGGGATGATCAGAGAAGACAGGACGCCGATCGCTGTAAAAAGGTAGCGGACGTTGCTCTGTCAGCTCTGAGAGCCCGCTACTGATTGGCGTCCATTTATAGCATTTCCAAGTAACTATTTTGCGACTATACACATACAGTTCACTGTTCGGTGGCTCCTTTAGTCACATAAAGGCGCAGACGCTGCGTTGGACTGGTGTTGTTGTGCTTCCATTCTAGGCTGTGGTGTTCTTGGAAGCTCGGGCAAGGTGCGGTGATGCGGCCAAGCCGTCTGTGACCGCATCCGTGGATATCTACCGTACCCTGTCATGTGGTCACTGGCGAGTGACGACCGTGCGATACGGCCGGCCGTTCCGATGACCTGTACCCGGTCCCTGTGTGACACCTATGTGTGCTGTACCCGCCCTGTGACCCCCCGGCCCTCTGCCGCAGGACTCTGACGGCCAGAGCTGCCCGTTCTGCCGTGCCGAGATCCGCGGTACCGAACAGATTGTCGTAGACGCCTTCGAGCCGGGCCGGGCGCGGCCGCGGGTCCGCAGCGTCCAGCGTGACCCCCAGCCGCCGCCGCCGCCGCGACCGCCTCCCCCGTCCGCCGCCAGTCCGGCCGAGGTACGCGCATGAACCGCCGCTAGCGCTGCCTGGCGACCGGTGCCGCAACTAAAGCTGGCCACTCGGCCGCTGCGTGGCGCCCCAGTCTGACCGCTTGCTTGCTGCCCCGCTGGCCGCGCGCGCTGCTACCGCTGCCGCTTATGGTGTTCCGTTCGCCGGCGTGCTTTTCCTTCCATCTGTGTCCCGTGATATCAAGTGCATGATGTTTGATTGTTAGAAATTGATTGTGTGCGTATGAGGCATGGTTACCTGGGTGCTACACGTAGCACCCACGTGTGTTACCAGCTGGTAACACGTGTGTTACCAGCTGGTCGCGTATTTTATGCCATGCGTAGTGCGTTTGCTTGTCTTCTGATTGCTGTTTTGTTTTGGACGTTTGATAATGTATTTGCTTTGTTTATGAATAGTTGCCTTCTTCAACTGTGGTCGTTGGAAATTGTCAGTGTTTTTTTTCTTCACATTTTATGCTTGTCACACTCACAAGGCTTTTGATTTTATTGGGTAAAGTCTCTAGCTCTAACACACACCATCTGCTCAGGTCCGTTGGGACTTGGTTTCTGATTTGTCACCTTTGAACAATATTGATCTTTAAGGAACAACTGAAGTCCCTAAGCCGTAATATTTCAACATGATTCCAAAACGTTCTCTGGAAATGAACGTGTATGCCCTGCAATAAAGTGAATAGTGGATAAATATGCTGGTTTCACGTCACTTGTCTGAATCCAACCATGTGAGCTTCCCACAACTGTACATAGTACCGATTGAACAGCTGTTAGTAGTTACTATTGCGATTAAGCTATTGTTGACCGTAGTTTTAGCGTTGAAGCTGGTCAATTTCCAAGCCGCTTGGCATTCGTCGCTTTGACGCGGGCTGTGAGTCTAGTGCGGTCTGTTCGTCGCTGCTTTTGGCCGCTGCTGGTGCTTCGTGTGCTGTCCCACAAGGTGAGCTATAACCATTAACCACTTCCACCCTATCCCTGACGTGCTTCGCTTTTCACTAACATGGGTGCGCCGCCTGACGCCGGCGGCTTTTGCTGAACATGTATTGTTTATTTGGCATCAATGGACTAGTGTGGCTGATGCGTTTAAGTTTGGGGAACATGCGAGTATGCCATTTAAATTTTACACAGCCTTTCATTAGATTATTATCACTGTATTACGTGTATTCTGTCTGTGTCATTCAGTTGTTCTACTTTATTCTCTAATTCGTAGTTTATTTCTTCAGCTAATCTGATTTGTTCAGCATTGTCTAGCAGTTGTTTCTGTGTATCATATAAATGTCGTTCACGTCTTTTGTCGGTTCAGCTGAATTTTACTTGCTATTGGTAATCCAACAAAGCAAACGTGTATAATTTCCTTATGAATCATTGTTTACTGTGAAAGGCTAAAAATGTTTTATCGGGGCAGGCATCGCTGGAAGCTGTTGCCAGTCGAGCTTTGGTCAGTGGTCATACTCTAACATTGTCAGCGGCCTGTCCGGGCAGTCTCAGACCCCGGCTTCACAATATATCGTATCCTCGTGTCCCCATCTTGCTGTAACTACCCTCTGTGACCAGCTTTGTCTGCCGGTCGTCTCTCAGAGTGAGGACGAGTCGCCTCCCGCGCCGGGCCGGCCCCGGCCGCCGGAGGGACGCCCCGTGGTACGGGCCGATACTGACCTGCTGCGGGCGCCGCCGCTGCCGCCGCGGCCCGGTCACGGCCTCGTCAGGTCACGGAGGTCAGTGGGGGCTCTGGTGGGGGATCCCAGGTCAGTGGGACGTTATAGATCATAACTCACTTCTAGGTCACTGGTTGTTTATGTTAGTCAGGGTTTATCTATGGTACTGAGTGGTCGAGTGACTTTTCAGCTGCTCTAGTCTTGACAATAATATAAGCCCAGTTACCCAGGAACTTGGTGTTTGATCTTCCGTCGTAATTGCTGCAGCATTGTTCTCTCTCGTTAATGCCCTAGTCTTGACAATGATGGTGTTTTCGGTGGTGTTTTTTTTTTGTGCAAATGACGTGTGTTATTTCGTATGCAATACTATAGCTTGCACGGTATAGATTCATTGGGTCACCCGTACTGTTTGTTGTTTCGCACGATGAAGGTGCGCTTCGAATTTGAGTCATTTCCTTGCGTCTCCTGCCCGCAGTTCGCACCAGCTGTGTTCGGGCGGCCAGGAGTCGTGTAGGACGGAGCAGCGCGACCCGACTGACGTGGTGCTCACACGGCTACATCCCGGTAAGTATAGAGGGGACGGTATACGCTCAATTAATATTGAACTGTTACTTGTTCCCCCTTCGCACGGAACATTGAGTAACATTATGGATCAAGGAGCCTCATGCTGCTGTACTCGTTGATTTCATGTTTGAGACCGTCAGTCGTCGGCTGTCATGGCCATCTATCACGCTTTCCCCACCTCTTCTTTGCTGTTTGTCGTCGGCCACTGACCAAACTCACGTCGACAGGTGGTCGGTCGGAGCATGAGCGGGCGTTCGGCTCCACCTCGTCGCTGGTGGCCTCCTCTGGTGACCCGTGCCTGCCGCCGCGAGCGCCGGGGCGGCCCAACCCTCCGTTCCGACTCACTCCCGAGCCTAGCCCGCCGCCGCGGCCGGGTCGGGAGCCCAGTCCTCGGCCCAGTCCGTGGGCCACGCCGGAGCCCAGCCCGCCGCCGCTGCCGCCGCCCATAGCCGCCCCCGCCCCCGCCGAGACGGCCGCGGCTGAGGTGCGGGAGCCGCCGGCGGGCGCGGTGGTCCTGAAGACGCCGATCCCCGCGCCCCGAGCCTGCCACACGGCGGCGACTGAGCCGGCCCCGGCCTCGTCAACCGCCGCTCATCGGCACTCCTGTCCTCTGGCGCCGCCGCCGCCGCCCCCTCCACCCCCTCCGCCCCCGCCCCCGCCTCCGCCGCCTCCACCGCCGCCACCGCCCCAGACGCTGGCGCCGCTGCCAGTACCGCAGCCAGACCTGCCGCGGCCGCCGTCCCCGCCCGAGCTGTGGCTGCCTGCACACGACTACCAGAACGCCAATCTCGGCACGCCGCTGCGTGAGTGGAGAGGGCACGGCGGGAACGGGGTAACGACTCGGTGGACTGGGCGGACTCGATGGGTTGGCGGGTTTCCCTGATGCCTCGGGGCTAGATACTCAGGCGCCTGGGCCTATGAATGTTCTCCATTTAAACGCTCTTCGATTCTTTGACGCCGTTTTTTCAGCACTTCCTCGCTAATTCCCTGCGACATAATGCATGTGCGCCACATAATGAAGTGTTTATCGGATTTCTAAGCCTCCACTCTGATCATAAAAGGAGGCACTTCTCAGACGTTCTGTTTAGCACAGTTCATTCAAGCTTATCTACTAAGAATTGGACCCGGCAGTGATTTTCATGTTTCCGTTTTCAGCACCGCGCGTGTGTGCAGTGGCGGCGCAGCAGCAGACAGGGAGGAAAAGGACACCCCCGCCGGCGGCCCCCTCGCCCGTCCCCTCCTCCGCGCCAGCGCCCGTGCTTCCGAGTCCCGGGTAAGTGTCTCACCAGGGTAAGAGCCTGGCTAGCCGAGTCTTCTCAGTAGCTGATCCCGGTTCCCTTGGTGGAATCATATCGCGCTGCCGCAGCCCGTCGGTGTCATAGCACTCTCAGTCATTTCATATCCCGAGACAAGATGACGCTTGGTGGGCGTAGTAGAGATGAGCTATCAATTGAACAACGCAATTCTAACGAAAAGTGTTCGTCAATTTTCAAACAGCTTGCGGTTATCGACATTTCTGCTTGTTTGAAAAATGCACCGTTTTATATATTGCCTCATGAAACAGTTAATTCACAAGCCTGCGATCCATTCGCTATGTTATCAAGTCCCGGTATTTCCTTGTGCCTTTACTAACCGCTCACTGTGTGTTTTCAGTAAGGAGACGGACGTGAGCATATCGTACGAGAACCTACGCCTGGATCACCTGGCCCAGCTATCGGCAGAGGGATACTCGCAGCGGGCTGTTCTGCGTGCGCTCACCATCTCACAAAACGATATCCAGATCGCGAGAAACATACTCAACGAGTACGTGAACAGGGCGTGGTAGTGAGCGTCGCCGCCGGACCGCTGGTCCGGTGGTCTGCTGGTCAGTGTTGGTCCGGTCCGGTCCGATGGTCTTCTAGGTGTTACCAGCCAGTCGGCTGGTCGGTGGACTGGGGGCTGGTGACTGTCAGTGAGGGTTGGTTCGCTCGGAAGGCCGCGGCCGGTCACGCTGATATTATTGAGAGCTGTTTCGAGACCTGTGAGCGCGCTGTGTGAGTTGTTCGGGTCAGGAGTAGGCTGTTGGCAGAGGAGGAGCGCTATTTTTGCCGAGCTGTCTGTGAGAAATGCCGTAGGAAGGACGTGCTCCGTTGATGTGCCATATCTGTGTGGCACCGTGCCGCGCCGCTCGTTTTCCATGTGATTACTGTGTGTCATATCTCCTGGTTGGTGCGCGCCGGGTGGACTATCGGCACTGTGTCGCGGTATTCAGTCGCCGGCGACGCTCCCAGTGAGGAGCGAGGCTGTGCGTGACCGAACGCCCGCCGCACTCCCTGGGCCATCACTGCGGCCAAACCGACTTTGTTATTGTTATCTGTTATGGGATTGGTGGATAGAGTGTTATGTGCGGCCAGAGGTGCGCGGTCGTGTGTCAGTTATGTTTGTCAGAGTGACACGGACCTTGTGTCAGTGACACGGACCTTGTGTCAGTGACACGGGGCGTGTGTCAGTGAGTCTTGTGTCGGCGATGTGCTCGATCTGACACGATCTGCATCAGATTAGTGTCGTGATGACGCGTGTCAGGGCAATCCCGTGTGTTCACGGTCAGATATCGGATGACCCCTCCGGATCCCTGGGTGAATGACCTGACCTGACTTGACCCGGTGTGCCCGGGGCGACTTTCAGTGAAGAGTAGCGGGTTCATCCGGTCCGTTGTGTCCCTTCCCTGCTGTACGGAGACTGCCGTGTCGTTCAAATAGTGCAGGACGTATGCTACACTCTTGTGCTCGAAGTGACTCGCGTGATTATTGTTTCGGTCGACCTGACACATCTTCCGTCGTCACATGTTACTTGTTCAAGCCGTCGACCTGTATGAATCGTACTCGGGTGATTGTTTCGATGTCATCAGCTTCAGGCGGAGCCGTTCTGTCAAAGGAGGATTGTAATTATGTTGCGGCCCATCCCCATCTCCTGTGGTTGTGGGTATCGTTAGCTGGCTCTCGATCTGCCCTGCGCGGGCCTCTCGGATCCCTGCGCTGCCGACTGTCGCGGTACTGACCAAACTCAGGTGGCTGGCTCCGTCTAGCGTCCATCAGCGGCGGGATGTTCGACTGACCCTCGACTGAAATTGCTCCGGCCCACACTGTTCATCAAAATATGGTCTGTTCAGTGTTCCACTCTTTTCTTCCCTCCCGTTCTTTCCTCTGCTCTCCTTTTTAGTTCTTTCCTCCCCTCTACTATCTTTTCTGATCTTCTCTGTTCTACTTCATATCCTGCGTCTTTCCTCTCCTCTTTAATATCCTCTGCCATTTCCTGTCCTCACCTCCCGTCTCTTACTCACTTGTCTTCTCCCCCTTCCTCCATTCTCCTTTCTTCCCTTTTCTTTTCCTGGGCCGCCAGCACTGCCCGCCAATGCTTCCATGTGTTCAGGTGCAGGTTGGTGACGGTAGGCTCCTCTCTGAGTTGTGCAGAGCGCGCTGAGGTGACTATACGTTCAATGACTCGCGCCGACTCCTGTTGGACTCCTGGATAGCTGCAGAGAGAGTGAGAGAAATGTCCAGGACCACTCGTGATACGCAGAGATATGGGGAGAGCTGTCTAGACGTATGTACTAGTCCCGGCGCGACCGCGTCAGAGCTTATCGAGACCGTTGCAGTGGCGGTGGATATTTTGTCTCAGATGGATGTTACCTCGCCGTTCATGTATAATACATACATTTAATCTTGGCTTGGCTTGTGCGCTGTGCTGATAGGCGTTCTCGCATACTTCCTGTGGTTGGGTTTTGTGTAGGCAAGCAAACATTTCATCTACCCCGTGAAGATAACAGAATGTGTGTGCTATTTTTGCGTTACGATTGGGGTCCTGCAACTTCAAAAGCTGGGTCAATTGGAACGGACGTGGCTGCCAAGGAATCCAACATTTCGACGTTCTCTGACAGAATGAGCAATTATATTGGTAAAAAACGCACACGAACCAGGTAACAATATAAAAAAACAGTAGTTGATTGAGACTCGATGCAAACATTCGTAATACCATTTGGCCACGTGAAATGTCGCGTAGTTACACACCAATTCCAAAGCTGACACACATCGTACGAACGGACGGCAACAATTACATATGTCGGAACACGGAGGGAGGTCCCTCGCCAGCCACGGTGTCAGCCAGTGGAAGACAGGGTCATCCCTCCAGAGGTGCACCCTCACACCGTCCAGTGGGTCCACTCGTGACCTATGATTCCGTGAGAACATAACGAACCCCAAACAGTCGCAACGCAGCTGTGCAAACCGAGCCGCCACACCCTAACACGTCTTTTCGTCTTCCAAGCACTGTCTCGTTGGAAGATAACCAGCTCCGCTGCTATCGAGCTGATTCCCGAGCCGAGCTGGCACGCAGTTATGCTATAAACAGGATGGGACGGAATCGTCACCGTAAGAGGTGACTACAAATGACCAAAATACAGCATCAGTCATAAACATACGGTGGAATGGCGGTTGAGCACAAACACTTCACGAGTAACATGTCATGTCACACCGGGCGAGGGAGAGCTGCCGTGGTTCCGAGTGTTCTGCACAGCACTCTTGCTGCATAGTTGGACGAGTCTTCTGCGCCGTCACAAGCACGAGAAGTGGAGACCCGATCCAGCACACTAAACACACACCAACAACCTTCTCATGCTATACGGACGTTTCACTGTTCAGCCGCAGCACGAACTTGTTACACTTTGGGTCTATGATCTCCTCTGTGATGTTGAAGTGCGGCAGCTTCACCACGGTGCAGAGTAGCGACACATCCAGCTGTCGCAACTGGAAGACCACGCCGTCAGCGGCGGCGCGGGACAGCGGCGTCTCGCTCACCAGAGCCCAGCTCTGCACCGGCCGCCGCTCGCGCTCCGACTCCAGCACTGGCGCCGGCGCCAGGTAGCGCTCGAGGAAGGCGCGCGGCGCCAGGTCGTGCGCCAGACACTGCGCCAGGTGCGCCAGGATCGCCTCCATGGTGTGTCGCGGCTGCTGGCGGGTGACGCGCAGGTACTTCTGCAGCGGGCGGGCCATCGTCGGGAAGATGGCCTGCGCTGCCTCGTGCGGGTCCATCGGCATCGCCGGACCTGGGGCGAATCAGACAGGCGATCGGTTATCAAGAAATTTGGTGACTTGTTCGAAATACCTTGCGAGAATGATAATACACAGGTCTCTAGCAATTGGGGGAGTCTGAGGACCACAGCCGACGACTGACATGCATTTTTAAGATCGTAAAGCTCAACACTTGTAACAAAATAGCTATTGAAGGGTATGCACACTTCACCGCTCGTTACTCAGTCTCAGACACATGTCACGTTAGTGTCACCGGGCGCATCTGATACACTGGAGACATTGCAACTATCCGCCATGCCCTCTAACGTACCGTGCTCGTCCTGCAGCCGTTTGATATGCGTAAACGCCTCCTCTGCAGCAGTGACCAGCCGGGAGCGTCGCTTCTTCACACGCCGCTCGTACTCGTACTCCTCGTGGAAGCGCTCGTTGTGGGAGCCGTCCTTCCGCCGGCTGGCCGGCAGCACCCGAGCAGGGGTCTGAAACGGGCGGCAGAGGGTGGTCAGAGAGGCTGGCCTCAGGGAAGGTAACGGGCAACCGAATGAAGGAAGGCTTTAAGGGAGGCCGTGTTGTCTTTTAAACGGTGGATCAAGAGGCATGCCGATAAAATATCCGTACCCTTAAAAAAACACCGGCCGATTTCTGTTTATCATAAACAAATTACAAATGCGTCGGGTGAGACTGAACATCGAGGGTAATTTACGAGGGAAACAAACTCGTATGGTGCGTTCCTAACATTTTAAGAGAAAAGCTAAGCTCTATTCATCCATAAACACATAATACCTACACTATTTTTCAGTGCGGCTCCATAGGCCAAATCCACCACCCATGTGCCGGTATGCGTCGTGGCTACGCCTCCGGCCCGGATGCTCCTCACCAGTCCCACGTCACCGTGGACCACAGGGGTCAGCTCGGGCACCCGGCGATGACCCGGGGCATACCGCCGGCTCGCGACTGACACAGCTCGACACCCCGTATGTGGACGCCAGAGGCAGCGGAAATACCACGCTCGAGACACCGACAGACTTGGGCTCGGGAGTGAGCGGCCGGGGTCGCCAGGGTGGGGCCGGTGGAGGGGGTCGCTGAGGGCCACAGGGAAAGTCGCCTGAACGAGGTCTGAACGGGACAGAGCCGTAATCAGATTTCCCTACAAAACGAAGGCGCCAGGGCCGTTTGTTAGAGAAGGCGGGGTTACTCGCTCAGATTTGAGGACTAGATAACACCATGCCGACGAGACGAATATCGCGTGATGAAACATCATTCACATCTTTCAGTTTCCCCTGCATGCTTTGCTGCAATGGCCAAGGCATAAGTAAGCAGCCCTCTTCTATATGATCTCTGAAACTGGAGCTGAGTCACCGAATTCCCTCCAGCGCGTGCGGCTGCGTCACCCCTGCCCGCGACCGCCGACCACGGCAGGGTACCGCCTCAGCCCCGGGCGCTACGGTCGCTCGGTCATTTGCATACCGGGGATGAGTTAATAAGTCATTTCCTTGGTATTTGTAGACTCCAGATCCATAAAGTAGTCGCGCCTGGGGTGGGTCGGCAGGCGAGGCAAGACTCCTAAAATACAAGGGTTCTAAATACAACGCATTAGTCGGGTTCCATCTTTTAGCATGCGTAATGATGGAGCCTGAAAGTCTTCCGGTAAACTTAAGATAAAGGAAATAGGCAGCGACCAAACTTATAAGATAATGTAATATATCTTCCGCAAAATGGCTACGTGAGCACATACTCAATCACATCGGGTTATTTGAATAAGCAAAGCGCAACATAAGCAACACTCTGGCATAGCAAAATCTGTAGGTAGGTACTGGCGTCTCGTGATTGACGTCAATCGGTTAGGTATAACAAACAGACGGTCCATGAGGCCCGTCGGTATAAAAAGCATTCGATGGTGACTGGATGCATCACTACCTGTCTCTGATGTCAGCAAACTGTTCGACTCGGCCACACGTATACCCACAGCTAACCGCCGTAGCGTGCTCGCCGTATGCTAATACCGGGCAATACCACGGTGGCCGGGTCTTATTCGGGTTCGAGATCATGATTTAGAGGTTCCGCATGCCACCAATGAATAACCGGCGCACGTGAGGGTCCGCACGGCTGGCACGATCGCATGCCTACTGATGAGCGTCATTGGACCGACATGAGGTCCTTGTCCTGGCGAAACCACAACTTACGGCATGGCTGGTGGGTGAGGAGACTGTAAGTTGGGCGCTAGTTACGGGTCTCAGCTTAGCGTGATAAAGACAGACGACGTCTATTTACAGCTCATGCTTGTCTTTTAGATCGCAGTTCAATTGAGCTACCGCCTCTTATGTCAGAATCCAAGCCGCGCCGCCACTGAACTGAAATTACCCGGGCGGGTCAAAAGGTAATTTATAAGTATACGGTAAAAGTATGAGCTGTTAGTAGGCTGTTAGCCCAACGGCCCAACTAAGGTGAGCTACTTGTTATTTGTCATAACGGGTCGCTATATTTGTCACATTTACATGACGATGTGGGTTCGTGAGACATTATATCGGTAGATCTAATTTGCTGGGATATCTGCAGGCTGTCGCTACCGCGGTCTGTTGACTAACTATGCCGACAATATGACAAACCAATTAGCTCATAGTTAGCTCAGTGATTGATGATTGTTGTAGAGCTGCCACTGCGATACACGAGTGGTTCCCGAGCTTTGTGATGTGAACCAGAGGACCACTGGCCTGAACAGCTGCCGTTGTGGCCAGTTCCGTGCCGTCTATCGTCTGGCGTCCACCGTCTGCCCTGCCCAGCACCTCGCCCACAAACCCGCCCAGAGGACCACGAGCGGCGGCACGTTTCCAGGCTAGACTTCAAAGCAGCCGCACCACGTCCCCGGAAAGGAGCGGTGCTTCCCCCCGCCGGGGCATTCGGCCCGGAGACCTAACAGAAGAATAATCGCTTCTGACCACGGCTTGTAGAGCATGAATCACGGTTCTGCTGATGTTAATGTTATTCATGTTTGTAACGACCCACGAGACTTATTAAGTGTATGTGATAGCACATGTTTGTCTTTCCGAAAAATGTCACATTTGCAAGTGAAATATGACCCGGGATATTTGTGCCTCCTTTCGTTGACAAATCTTCTTGGATGTACCGAGGTGTGCACCTGTCTGGACAGAAACATGCAACCTTAGGTATGTCTTTCCGATAAACCGATAAGTGGTCCATACTCCACCAGTATAACGCCTTTTGGGGCGACTAACGGAGCGAGCGAGAGGGTGGGCCTTGCACGTGCGAAATTGCGAGGGGTTACCTCCAACTCACTTGTGCACGGCACCCTACTAACCGGTCTCTAGCGATGTGCCAAATTTGGGCACAATCGGCCCAGCCGTTCTCGAGATCTGGAAGCGGCACCCTGCACGTGCGCACGTGCAAAATGGGTCCCAACTGACTTGTGCACGGCACCCTACTAACCGGTCCCTAACTGTGTACCAAATTTGAGCGCAATCGGTCCAGCCGTTCTCGAGATCTGGAAACGACCCCTGCACGTGCGCACGTGCAGCAGCGCCCCAACTCTGGCACATGAATATGCAGTGCCTACTGTTAACGCCAGACCCCTTGAGACCCTATTTTTTCGCGATTATTTTTAAATGCGTGGAGGAATTTCAACG